GTTTCGGAGTCACCGTACGCAAAAGACTACCGAATTGGTCATCGACGGCGCCGACCTGCTCGGGGACTGATTCAGAACTCGCGCGCCGTCGATGATCGCTCGTTAAATTCGTGTTCGACCATCGACGGTGCACAGAGTGTCGAGGGTTTCAACTTTCGGCATCGGTCGTTCGATGGAGTTTGGTTAGAATGCAAGCTCGCGCCGCCCCATATATGTACGGTCAGCGCGCAGCTTAGTAGCGCGGGCGCATGCAGCCGCCCGGCCGCGGTAGGAACGCGTATTTTGTAAAACCCTGTCGGGAGGCTCGCTGCCGGGGACCGCGGAGTCCGTCCATTCCGCGGGCCGGAATAACTATTAACTGGGCAAGTAAGGGTCCTGGGGTGCCAGCTGTCACGAGTGATTGGCTGCCAGCTGGCATGGTGGCTGCTTTTGCCGCTCCAGCTGCTGTCTGTGGCAGAGGCGGGCAGAGGGCGCAGTACGGTACTAGCCACAGCTACTAGGTTCTATGGAGACGCGCGCTTCCTCAAGGATCTTCGAGTCTACTCTATATCCCTGCAGCCTTTTGATCAGCATCTGCCGGTTGCGATGCGAACCCGTGATGCGGCTTTGAGTGTTATCTCCTTGTGGTTCCATCTAGTGTTGATGCGTATGCAGCGCAGCATAATCGGACGCTGAAGTGGAGTGCAGGCAAGTATTCATCCTCACTGACACATGTATAAGCTCCATTCGAGACCAATGAGGTGCTGCGGTATTTCTGTACAGTAGCAAATTTCGTCTGCGGTTGCTACGATTGTACAAAGACGACAAGAACATCCTTTAAAATGTCAGAAGTTCATGTTGCGCATAGGCTCTTTCAGTTCATCTGCCTAGTGGCAACATTCATGCTTCTCTGTGCCCCAAGCATTCTTTTGTTTATTGTCAACCTGGTTGCAAAAGATCTGAACAACAGTAAAATGGCAGAACCTGTTGCATCTTGCGAGCTCAAACTCGTGCCTAGTGGAAGGTGATCGCCGCACCTTCAATCACCGAGCAATTAAAATGCTAGAAGGGTTTCGTGTCTGCATTGCTTAAAAGAAAAGAATGTGCAGACTAAACTGCTCGCTTTAGAATCCTGCCTGAAGACGAAGCTGAATAGTACTCGCTCGTCCATCATCCTGTCACTCAACATGATGACTTGCCACCGTGGTTTCTCTCAGTAATCCAATTTGTGAGCCAAGTATCATTTGGAGCAAGATTTCCATGTGGCCTTCTGTAAGCTGAGGTGTTTGCAACTGTCAATTCCTGTTGGTTGGGTTGACTTCTTGTAGTCTGTAACGTGTAAACTCAGTTTCACCCAGTATCCCCGCCCTCATCCAGGTGTGCTTTGGCTCATTCTTTTGATTTCACCTGCTTCTGCAGATCTGAGGCCCTACCGGCAGTCCCTGGTGCAAGCGATGACCATCCAGGATAACGAGAAATCCACTTTAGAAGAAACAGCTATTGCAAACAGCGAGATCTCAGCACCAGGCCTGCAAATCAGCCTTGAATCTGGCCCCGTGGCCATGCTAAGAGTCAGCTCAGAAGTTGAGCACACAGAACTTACGTCGAAACCAAAGCCAGTTGTAGACGCCGCGACAGCTGGCAGTCAGACAATCGCTCTGGCCGCTATGCAGGACGCTGACGACAATTACAGCGGGGGGATGCCGACAGGTCACAGAATGCGAGGGGGCGGAGAGGAAGCACGGCCGGTGGAAGATGACGAGGCGTCGCTAATGGCAGCGCACCCCCCCAGGGTGGAGGAGAGGCATGAGCAGGAGCGCACTGGCCCCCCTGAGATCCAAGAGTCTGACCGAAGAGGGCTTGCGATGGAAAACTCATTTAGCGAAGAACGGGCCAAGGATGGAGGCGGTGCAGGGGGTGCAGCTGACGAGAGGCCTGTTGTGGGGAGGTCGCTTTCAGAGCGGAGCGGGGGGTCAGAAAGCGAAGCGAGCGGGTCGCACAGCAAGAAAGAGGCAGACGGGGAGAAGCACAAGCACAGCCGGAACAACAGCCGCAGCGGACGGAAGCGGGACTTGGAGAAAGAAGCGGAGGAGCTGTTCAGGGCCCTTCCCGAGAGCGTCCGGAAAAACGTGAGCCACCAGGAGGTGGAGAACCGGCTCGAGAAGGCCAAGTCGGAAAAGCGGGGGTCCAACTCGGAACTAGGGGAGGCGGAGAAGCTCGACGCCCAGACGGGGGTCATGGCGAAGCTGGTGAGCGATACCGGGTCTGAGTCGGGGAAGGAGGGAAAGACGCCCGAGCGGCGGCCGTCGCACAGGACGGAACAGAACCCGCAGTCCAAGCTGCCGGAGAAAGTGAACGAGGGCCTGCAGTATCTGAGTCAGAGCGCCAAGGAAGTGCTGGAGTATGCGCCGCGACCGCTGACCCCTGTGGTCGCGTTATTCTACCGGCTGTGTCGGGACGGGAGCGTGGAAAGCCTGACGTGGAACGAGGCAGGGGACGAGGAGATACAGGTATGGAGTCTTTGCAAGGGAGTCTTCGTTTTTCAATAGCTAAGCACAGTGCTTTCCAAGTCTAGATTGTAAAACGAAAGCTTGTGTTGGGATGGCTTGTCTTCGTGACGAGAGCCCTTTTCTTTTCTGAAAGTTTGATGTTCTCATGTTGGATCGAAATCTGGGGCTTGAAGGAAGTCCAAGCTCCTCTTCGAAACATGAGGGCACCATAACTTCGCCGTATCCATGCTTTTACCGCCTCCTCGAGTTGTCTGAACATAACTTGGTCCGCTTTCATGTCGCCTGCTCCCCACTATTCTCGGGTTCCGAAAGACATCGGGGTGACCTCGGGCATTCTTCACCAACAGCTAATGAAGAGGGTACCCGTAAGCATAGGACCAATTCTTGCAACTATATCTCGCAACTAACGTGAACAGACTTTGCGGCCCTCAGCAGCTGTGAGCAGCTGGGCAGCCGCTCACACGCTTTTGACTACTGCAAACGTCCCAGTTAAGCAACGCTGACATCCCGCTTGCTTTAAATTCTCATGCACGTGCTTCTTGGCCGCAGGAGCTGCTTCACTACGCTAAGTTATGCATGGGTGCATACTCGCTAACAGCGGAAGATGCGGTCAAGGACTCGGAGCACGTGGTCAAGGTGGAGTCGGTGGCGAAGCTCGTGTCGCACAATGCGGAGGGGAAGTGCCCCGCGCATGTGAGTGTTGAGACTCTGCCCCAGTCAGAAACTACGCTGCTGAAGATTGGTACGACCTTCTCCGGGTCTGACATGAGACCACGGGTCGCTGAACTACCATGAGAGTAGACGGTTAGCCGGCAGAGGATGTAAGAATGCAGCCGCTTTTTTTCACGTCGTTGCTTTGCAGAATTCGACTGCGCAGGATGCTTTGTTCTTATGTACAGGACTTCGACGCGAGCACTGAGAAGGAGACCATTGCAGATTGGATTCCCAGGAGTTTGCGATCATCTTGAAAATGAGTAGCAAAACATCTGTAAGGGACTTGTTCGACAAGACGATCTGCGAAAGACGTCGTTTTCGCATCGTCGGAAAAGCTGACGCAGAATCCTGATCTTTAATGTCCAGCTATCCAGCCAGACATGGAGTGGCAAAACATCAGACTTTATTTGTAAGAAAATATTTTTCTGGACTCACAGTAGCAGCTGAACCTAGATATTCTTCGTCTTCTGTTCAGATCATCTACCCGAACAAGGAGCGGCAAATTATTGGAGGACATGCTGCGGGCTATACCGAGGTATCTGTTTCGATTCGATTTGGAAAATGACGCTAGTAATTTGGTCTTCCCATGTTCAGATCATCTACCTGGACAAGGAGCGGCGGGACATCGTGCTGGCGGTGCGTGGCCTGGACATGACGTCAGTGGACGACTTCAACATTTTGGAGGACAACTACCGGGGGCAGCAAGCGTACATGGACGGGTACGTGCACGCCGGCTTCTACAAGGTGAGCCATTTACCTTTTTTTTTGTAAGAGGAATCGAGCTCCATGAAATCTCGAGTTGCAGAAGCAGGAATTGTACGGGACGGCCACGTCTGCGCCACATCTTACGTGCGCATTCATAGTTCTTGGTGAGGAACCAGGGCTTTACGTTGACCGCACCTGGCTTGGCGGTCGTGCTTCTGTTGTTCTTGAGGCTTCTTTAGGGCACGTGCACTGATGGAAGGGAGTCAGTTCTTTTGATTTTTCTGACGCTTCCTTCGTGCCAACTGAAAAGCAAACATACAATCCACGTCCAGGTATTGCGTAGAAGTGTCCTGTCAATCCGTTGCTGGTGTCGAGGCTCAAAGACCTGGGGCTCGAGATGGAGGCAATTGTAGAGACCGAGCAAATCAAGATCTTGCGCACAGCTCACGAAAGTCAAACTTTCTAGATAAAGCTTCGGCAACGGTTCTGGAATCAGTTGAGCTTCGTGCTTACATCAATATGAGCCCCGTCAACCGCCAGGGACGAATCTGATGCCTCCGCAACTGTACGGCAATGCCCTTTTAGGAATCTGGGCAAAACCGTTGCGTTGCTTCTTTCCAGATTAAGTCGCGCAGCGGCTGGTCGCGAGCTCAGGCCCCGTGTTTGCAACCCGTGTCTTTGAAGATACTATTTTGCAAGCTTGACGTCTTCATCGAGGGAAATCGGAGCGTACTTCCCGTTGCCTGTCTCTTCAATGCATTTCGGCACCGGGTATCGAGGGCTTGGGAGAGCGAACCCGTCTTCGATGCAGCTTTTATTGGTTTTTGACTCGAATATCGTTTGGGCGCAGGCTGCGCAGTGGTTGGTAGAGAACGAGGGCCCCTTCATCGCGAACCTGGTGAAGGAGAACCCCGACTTCCGCCTCGTCATGGTGGGGCACTCTCTGGGCGCGGGTAAGCTGCTCGGCGTTTCGGAAACGTTTCCGAACTCTTGTCTCGTCATCTTTGATTATTCTGCACCGGCAGAACAAAGGCCTCTTTCGAGATCGGACTATGTTCGCGCTCTCCAATGTTGAGTGGTCGCATATCACAAGATAAGATAAAAGTGCCGAAGTAACTCCATCAGAGGCCTTGGACGAGGGCCTGGCGATGTCACTAAAGACATACCTTGTTCAGGCAATGATGGCTTCCCACTGAGCTCCTCATGATGCTCACCGGTATATCTGTTGAGCTGATGTCACCCACCTCTTTGCAAGAATCGAAGGTTGATGACCAAAGCTTTTGCGATGAAGGCTTTCGCTTATTCGTTCTGCAATCCGCCGGTACAGACCGGCCAGCGTTTGCCCCTAAACGGGCTCTGTGATAACCTGATGCGATGCAGTGCTCTCTTCGTGCCTTGTTTCGGGGCTCTCGCTGGTCGAGTGAATGGTCAACGGCCTGCTGTGCACGTAGACGTGTTTTTGGGTCCTCCGGGAAATACTGGTCGTTGCTTTGTCATGACTGGCTCACAACACGATGTGCTTTAAAAGGACTTGAGCACAGCCACAGCGACAGCCGCCAGTGGATAACTGCAGGTGAAGCATTTGTTTGCTTTCTAGAACAAAGTCACTAGTCCTGCGTCTGGAAAGGATTTCTCGGTTGTTTCCGCTTGCTCGGGTGGCTTCCTTCGACTGTGACACGCTTCTATCATCTGTTGCATAAACACCACGTGGCTCATAGCACTGCCAGAGTTTGGATGCCGACCTTTGCAAGTCTGAATTATTTCACGCCAGTATGAATATGGTAGTCCTGCATTCGCAAGAATAGACGTGCAGCTTGTTCGGCCGTTGTTTCCTATTATTTAGTGTCTGCCTGTTGTTTGGCGGTCACAGCCACCTTTTGAGGTAGAACGGGCTGTTTATCCATTACGGTTCCCTGAACCCAATTTGCTGAGCTTGAGTACGAACAGCTTCTCAGGCTTCCCTTTTTGGTGTAGTCAGTGGAGCCTTAGAGCTTACTCGAGAAACCTATCTCATATCGATCAATGAATAGAGATTGTCCTCTTTGAAGATTGTGTCTCCACAATCAAATCGGAGTACTTGGATTGCCTCTTTAACCTGGGTGCTTTCAATGAAGAGACAAGCAGTAATGACCATTGGAAAGGCTGCGCAGTCCCGAAAAGCTGCGCCCAAGTGAAAACTCGCACCGATTCTTAACCATCTGTTTATGTTGCTGCAACAGGAGGTAATCTATTCGGAAAGCATTGGACCTCAAACAGATCCTTCAAGTATTAGATTTCGCACTCGAGCAGAAAGTATCGTCAGCTTTTTCCTCGTTAATCTGCTCGGACACCACGTTGACGTCTGGGGTTTTGAGTTCTTGGCAATGACGACCCACCCAAGTGAGAACTTCAGTCAGGGCTCAGAGCTGGAGCTTCCGGTCTGATGCGAAGTCTGCTTTCTGGAGATAGCTTAGCATCTAGACCCCAGCATCTTGGCTGCAGTACGTCTCGCAACCACTGCAGTCGTATGCCTCCTCCTCACCAGCGATTCGTGCACCCCCGGCCGAGTCTTCCTTGGGTTTCAGGAAAGGGAATTTTATCTCTTTTTCACACCAAAGGGCTGAAATCGCCACGGATATATGGACAGCTTGGCCTCGGAGCCGGATCACAGGAGTGCTCCGACGATGTTAGGGCAATCGCGCAGATCGTTGGTCTGTGGTTTCAATGTTCCAGCTAGGCTCTAGCAGTAAAATGTGTTTCGAACCTCTGCGGTTGCAGTGATAAGCTGTGAGCCTTTCTCAGTCTTTTAGACCTTTTCCCAATGATAGATTGAAGCCTCCTCCCTCGTTTCCCTGAAGACCAAAATGTCCGCCCTTCCGTTAGACGTGTGGCTATAAGCAGGCAGTCCTAGGCCGTTCGTCCACTTCAGATGTCAACTTGTACAGCTTCCGTCATCATCTTGTGAGCTACTTGTGTAACGTGATCCTGCACCATAGGCCTTGACGACGTTCCACATCTCTGAGCTTCTCTTGATGAGCGCTCAGCTCTTCTTCGATGTTATCTGATGCCGTGCATCCACGTTAGAAGATGTTCTAATTTCAGCGCCTGGAGGTCAATGTGTGGGCGACTTTGCCCTAACTTCTCGGCAATGAAATTCATTCAGGAGCGTGAGGTTCGGCAAGCCACTGTAGTCTGCAGTTTTCAAGAGGGTGCTGCGAAGGACGCTCTGAAGTTCGGGGCCGTTCGCTTCAGTTTCGTACTCTGACGTTACGAACCTCTGCTATGTAGTGAAGGAGCTGAGAAGTGACTGACAATCGATCGCACTCTTGCAACTTTTTACTACTTGAATCATTCGGCGACAATTGCCCAGTGGTAGTCGCAGCTTTGGCAGAAACTTCTCTCTTCTTTAACAGCTTGACCAGGTCTCCTGTATCAAAGCGGCAATGAAGCGAAACGAAACCACCTGAGCACATGCTGCCTTGATTGCTCAAAGACAGGTTTTCGACGATGCCGGTATTGATATCTCCTCCTCTCCTGGGTCGGTAGGAGCGAAGTACACGAACCGGATGCTGCCTTCGTTTGTTATGTTAAAGGTCTTGTACTTGGCGCTGGAGATAATCTATTTCAACCTCAAGTCTTCATTCATGTAAACAAGATGCAGCTTTCTGCACACTTCTTAGTCGCTTGTCCTTTGTCCTTTTCGTATTAGGGAAGCTCACTTGAACGACTAGAAAGCCAACGCACTTGCCAAGAAGAATCTCCTGATAAACACCACGTGGCAGGGACGACCACAGCGCTGAGCTTTTGCTATTTGCAATGTCTCAGGGATCGTTTTCCTGTACCGAGAGCCACACTTAGACTGCTGCTAAGTGTCTCCTCTCGGTATTACACGATTCTCATCCCATCAAAAAGAACGCGCTCCTGTCGAAATAAGGAAGAAGTTGTTGAGTCAGCTCGAACTCAACAACGCCCTTGGAATGATGGACCCAAAATGGCCCTGGCGGCAGCGTTGGGGGCAGCGACTGATTTGTGCAGGGCTACCTGAGCAAACGTGGTAATCATCTGGAAGTCACCCCGTCTTCAGAGCTCAACTAAATCGCGACTCGCGTAGGCAAGTGCGCGGAGTTTGTCTGATTGTGGTCCCGATCAGACACCTGACTTCTGTTCGTCTGTATATTGTGCCCTCCTCAGATTAGTTTCTTGTCTGACCTGTCATCGTTCAGTCGGTAGTTCAGCATTCGCTTTGGCCCCATCCTAAGAACAAACACATTCAATCACAGTGCTTCTTGTAGAAGCTCTGATTGATTGCTTCTTTGTTTTGGACGACTCCTTGAGCACGCTTCCGGTCTTCACTTGTTGTACGTCTCCAACTTTGCACGCTCCATTCCCTTGTAAGCGGTTTGCTGTTTTGGCATGGGATAGGGGATTCTGGCAATGATGACGAGCGAAGAACAGAGCACCCATGGCCGAGACATGCTCACATTCGTCCCTGCTAAACTGTGCTCGCAGATGCCCGCTCGTCCCCGTTTGATATTCTTTTTGCACTCCTCTGGGCGCTCTAGTGTGTCGCAGTTGCAGCTGAGAAGAGTGCGTGCGTTGTTTTGCTCTTCTACTGATTCGACAAAGACGTTCGTTCTTGAGAGTGTTCCTCTGTAAGGTTTTTCTTTGCAAGGTGGACAAGGGACAATTCCTCAACGATGGGCAGCATTTTGGCGGAATACATGGAGTCTTAAAGCGCAATCTATCCACTCCACTTTTCAAAGTTCAATGAAACTACTGACCTGGATTTTACCAGATTCAGTTCGCTTTTATATTGTGAACGAATACGACCCCACGGACTTTGCCACTGTTAATCGCCGATAACCCCGCAAGCAACGGCGGCCTACGGCTGGGACATATCGAGTATCTACATACGTATCCTCATTGCACTACAAGTCACGTCCTTCTCTTCTGTTTTCTACAAAGCGTTTCTCTCGCTAACGTTTTGACCCAATCCATCTCAAGTGTTGCCATGATGTTTACCAACAACCCTGCAATCGTCGGTGGCTTACTCCTGGAACAAATTAAACTTACCTCAGTCCATCTTGTTAGAGTCCTCCATCTATTTCACCAAATCTCATCTCTCAACAACGTTTCAAACCGATTCCAGGGATCGCAATGACCTTCACCATGATGATCACCGACAACCCCGCAACGGTGGGCGGCTTGAGGGCGGAACAAATCAAGTGCTACGGCGTCGCCCCTCCGCGCTGCTTCTCCCTCGACCTCTCCGTCAAGTACTCCCACGTCATCAACAGCGTCGTCTTGCAAGTGAGTGACTTCTTGGCAAAGTCGACAAGAAGCAGATGAGAAAAGTTCCCTCTTCCCCTCTCTCGTACCCTCCTTTCGTGCAAGTTTGCAGTTCCTGTTCGAGTGGCTTTGTCAAGCGGTTGGTTAGGCTGTCAGTTCTTTTGTCATGTTGCCTCTGCAAGGAACAGGATTTTGATCGGTGTATTTGAGCGGTGTACTAATTCTGGACTCTGTCCGGTGGACAAGTCTGGTTATCGACCAAACCGGAACGGAAGGAGGGAAACGCTAACCACAATCCCTTACTTGAAAGGCGCGGAATAAGGCGCGCAGGATGTCGTAATCCAGTCGAGTCGCAATACTTGCAGTCGTCAGCGTCCACGAGTCCACGAGAAACGCTCGAAAGCACAAAACAATCTACGAGCTACGTGTCGCAAGATGCCGAGCATCTGCCCCTTTACAACCCGTTTGTCACTAAATAGTTGAGCAACATTCTAACGCATTGCTTGTTCTTTGCAGGACGACTTCCTACCGCGAATCAGCACCGCCACTGTGACCGCCATCTTCCCCCTCGCCGGCAAGACCAACTGCTTCTGCCGCTTCATTGTCAACTAGTAAGCACGTGCCGTCCGATTTATCAGATCCAGAGCGTCTACTTCTCGTTGAGGCTATAGACCGCTCAGTAATCATTTCTTCCTTGATAATGGTGATGCTCGACGGACATCTCCTCCTTGATAAGGGTGATCCGGACGTTCCGTAGGATTCTGCTGTAGTCGACACCTTTACTGGTCGAGTCCGCTCGGTCGGTGCTGCTTCTTCAACATAATCGTCGACATCCATCTGAGTCGAGGACAAAGGGAGCACGTTGATGTCTGAATTTTTTTCCCGCTGATTGAATTGACAGTCTACAACCCTCCCGGTTTGTGCGGCACTTCTCGTGTCACTTCGTTACCAGCCTCTCACGTTTCATCGAAGGATTGTTCACTTTTGCGAGGTGCGGAGGGACAAGTCGCCCCTCGCGCAAGCGAAGATGATGCGCAGACAAGATAGCTGATGCTTGCAACCTGATAACAAAACAGTCTCTCTTTATCCGGATGTGCTCACGAGTGACTCTCGTCTGTTTCTTCTCGCAGTGCGTGCTGGTCCCTGTGCAAGCGGTACTTGCGCGACACGTTCCAGGGAGGACCTCACTACCTATCGTTTGACACCAAAAAATCTTCCTGTTTTCGGAGATTTTCACGACTGACCTGGCCTTCTTTGTCCTCGCAGCGCGTGCTGGTCTCTATGCAAGAGGTGCCTTCGCGACACTTTCCAAGGAGGACCTCACTACCTATGTTTCCCACCGAAGTCTCTTTCATTTGTTGAGATTTTTCACGACTGACCTGGCCCGCCTCCTCCTCGCAGCGCTTGCTGGTCTCTCTGCAAACGCTGCTTGCGCGACACGTTCGTCCCCCAGAAGGCGCTCCTGCAAGACCCGTACCGGCTCTACCCGCCCGGCCGAGTCTACCACGTGGTACATAAGTTCCCCTGCACGTGAGAGCCCTCCTTTGATGCACGTTTTCGTGCAGTTTGGGAGTCGCATAGTTGAGTTGCTTTTACCTGTATCACAGTCTTCATTCAGAACAACCGGACTGCGGAAAGCTGAGGATTTTTCTTAAGGATCCGTACCGGTTCTACCCGCCCAGCCGAGTCCATCACGTGGTTCACAAGTACCCATTCACGAGGGAGCGCTTGCCTCAAAATCCTGTACATGCGGAACCTGACCCCATTCTCCTTGTTGAGTTCGACTTTCGCTTTCGTATCTTACTTAAGATTTCGTGTATCCTTTTAACCAGAGCAAGATGCGTGTTCTCGTGTGAGGACTTGATGATGGGCTAAATATCGCGTGGCGATTAAAGTACAGCTCGTTCTTTGTTATTGAATCAACAAAGTCGCTTCAGGAATCTGACCTGAAATATGGCTGCGTGAGAGTATTTATCAAGCTGAAGACGGACATTCTGGTCGTCGGCTAGGTCGTTCGTTGACCTACGCTTTTCGCACCCAAAACCACCGTCAGACACCGGGCTTACTTCACAGCAGTCAAACTGCTAACCCGGGTTATCGTGCTAAACCCGCAGGTGTAGCTGCGCGGAGGCCCACGAAGGTGAAGACGGACGTCTCGGTCGAGAAATACCTATCGACCTGCGTTTCCACCTAAAAGTCACTATCCAGGCATTTGATTCACCTCGCAGCAACCTAACCCGGTTTCTCGTGCTAACCTCGCAGGTGTCAGTGCGCCAAGGCGCCCACCAAGGGGAAGACGGATATCCGTGTGAAGATTGGTTCAACTATGAACCTACATTTTAAGGCACATGATGCACCTTGCGCGGATTGGATAGCTAACCCGGGTTATCGTGCTAACCCCGCAGGTGTAGCTGCGCCAAGGCGCCCACCAAAGTGAAGACGGACATCCCGGTTAAGAGCCGCTTCGAGCGCGCGGTGCTGACGGGCTCCACATTCTTCGACCACAACCTGACGGCGCTCATCAGAGTCCTCAAAGAGGAGCTACATGTGAGCTACCTCTTTGCTGCTTTTTGCAAGGCCTCTCTGGCAGTCTACCTGCACAGTTAGCTGATTGCATTCAGTTCGCGTCTTACGCCAGCGGAGTGCGAGTGAGTTGCCTCTTGTAGCTTGTCCGTCCGCCACTGCAACAGTCTCTCTTTTGCGAACGCCAATGGTTGAGCCGATTGGGTCTAGCTCGCGCCTTTTGTCGGTTTTCTTTTTAGATAACGTGCTCTTTCTGCCTTAAGACACCGGCTAGGCCCTGTTCTTGGCTGTCAAGATTGAAATGTTTTGTAACCTCTGTTGTGATTCCACTAGAAGCATCAATTCCGACCTGTTCCTTGATTTCGGAACGTAAAGGGGCTGCGCAGAGGTCCGTTCAGAAAGCCAAGAAAGCTAGCTTTTGACTTAAAAGAGGGTTCCTTGTTAGATTCTGCTTCTGTTTGTCACTCTTAACGGAATGTCTGGCTCTCGACGTTTTCGTTCTTGTCACACCGACGCTCAATTAACCCATCTGGCATGTTCTGCCGTCTGCCAGGTCTCCGAAAACCGCCCGGTTTTGCAGCCTCCGACCGAGCAGAAGCTGGCTTATGCAATCTACACAGCTTTTTCCGTATTTTGTCTACTCGTCCCTTTGAAGGCACCTTTCGCTGTCCAACAACGATTGTTCTCAATGCACCCGGGCAAGTTCCCCCCTTGCCAGGTCCCCGAGTACCGCCCGGATTGCAGCTCACGAGCTAGTCCAGCATAATGCCATGTTTTCTGTAGTCTTCTGCCAATTCCCAGAATCAAAGTTTCTCGACTTTCCTGGTAGTGCGAGAACATTTATCCTCTGAGAACATTTCCTTTTTGGGTGCGAGTATCCTGATCTCAGATTTTCCATCGCACTTAACAAAATACGTTTCCCCCCATTGCCAGGTCCCCGAGTACCGCCCGGTTCTGCAGGCCCCGAGCGAGCAGAAGCTGCAGCGCGCGAGCACGATGCGCCGCGAGCAGGGCCGCGCGCTGCGCCAGATGGCGGACGTCCAAACCATGCGCAAGGACAAACCCCCGCCCAAACCCAAAGGCCCGACCGCGAAGGCGCCCGCGCCGAAATACCCCGGTCTAGTTCGCCAGGGCTCCCGGCGACTCTTCCCCCGAGAACTAGAGATGCTTGGTTCTGCTTTGGGACAATCGCCCGGTCACGATCTCCAAGCGAAGACGCAGGGGCCGTTTACGCAGTCGATCCTGCAGCGGAGTATGAGCACGCCGCTGGGGGGGCCGGATGTGGGGGAAAAGAGCCCCCCCGAGGGGTCGACCGAGGCCGCAGCGGCGGCGGCCGTGGCGAAAGCGGACGGGAAGGAAACGGGACGGAGACTGGACCAAAGGTTGTCGATGACCAGGAGTCTGGATTCGCAACCGACACCGAGGAACCACCGGTCGTTGAGTCTGGTTGAGGAGGGAGACTTTGAAGGGGAACTGACGCCGCGGGCTTCTGACACGTGGCATAACCAGGAGGGGCGAGATGCGGCAGGACAGATAAATGAAGACGTGGCAGGACAGCGGAACGAAGACGTGGCACGAGGGTCGGACGATTTGCCGGGCGGGTAATCCAGGACACGGCGAAGGAGATCCGCAGTTGAATGCTGCAGCCAAATTAGAGATATGGATTTGCTGATTGAATGGGAGACGAAGGCAGGTGGGGGAAAGCAGATGAGCGCATTGCTCCAAGCTTAAATTCGAAGCGGAAAGCGTCGCATGTACGAGCTCCTCTTCTAAGATGCTTCACATTATGCCGCTCAGCTTGACAGCTGAATATCGACAGTTTTGGCCCATCTCAAGTGCTTCGCAGTCTATGTGTTCATAGGACCGTCCCAGAGTGTAATCGAAGTACCGGGGTGCAATGCTGTATGGCGGATCCAACGGAATTGCTTGGACTCGGATACTTGGAAACATTATGTCAGCCGGCCATCGAAGATGACGCGAGTAGATTAGATAGGCCCGAACACTTAATGCTATGTGACGGACACACACCTTCAAATGAAGGCCGGTAAACTGAGCACGCTAGATTAGAGCTTTTAGGTTTTACGAGATTCACTCGCCAAGATGAATGGATTGTCTGGCACATTGTCCCATGTCTTCGATCTTTTGTACGTCTTAGACGGTCAACAGGATCATTCCGACCGGTCTGCACGATGCGGTCTTGCTTGATTCATTCGATCCGACTTTCATGGACCCAGCTAGCGGGCATGAGATAGAAAGTGTGTCCGATCGCGAGCTAGCGCCGCCGCTTTCAAATGAAAACATAAGCATGCACCCTGCTGCCACGGTATGGTATATGGTCATTAGTGACCATGTACCGACCCGCCACTTGATAATAAGTGATTGGACATTAATGTCCAATTGCTCGATCATGATTGATGCACCTAAGTTGGGCACGTCGGTTCTGTTCAATATATAGCTGGGTCATCAGTATTATCCGGTTGACGAATATTCAGGATAGACCAGATTTACCCGCCGCGATTCCCCTGAACGTACACTCGATCAGCAATGGGCAGACCATTTTGAAGAAGTGAACCTGACCGTCAGCAAGCTACAAGAGCTTAGGCGCGGCACTTTCTTGTGAGTTATGCTTCTAGCTTTCCATCTTTATGATAAAATATATGAGCTAAACTGCAACAACGTTCTCCTGATACCCGCGGAAGTCTTGCATGAAAAACACTTTTCGATTTATGTACATGCGCAAGAAAAGCCATGCATGGTTTGTCAGTGTGGAGTCATATTCCCAGCTAGCCCGTTTGAATGACAGCCAGTCAGAAGACATTGAGCAGTACCAGTCGGACGAGAGCAAGCTCAGACTAGACCTCGAGGAGTCTCTCGCCCAATGCACTCGCAGTAACTCCACGGGAACTCCACTCACTGAATGCGACTAAGATGAAGATCCCCACTGTACCATTTCACTGGTCTGATACTCCCTGTGAGAGACGGACAGATCCAACTTGTCCAGTATATTCTTCTCCGATAGCCAATATGGAAAGAGCAAGCTAAGCTATGGAAAGAGCAAGCTAAGCTATGGAAAGAGCAAGCTAAGCTTTGCGGCGTCAATCGACTTCTCACAACCGAGCAGAATTCGCTGGTATCTCCATTGCGGGGCCAGCATGAGGTGGCTCCGTCGCAAATTGAGGCGCCCAAAGATAGAAGCATCTCCTGGAGTCAGCTTGAGGCCTGCGTATAACCATACAATACGGATTCTAAATTCTATTATTGAGGCTAATCACTTCTCAACCAGCTGGATAGCTCTTGTTTAAAAAAAGCTTTTGCTTGACTTCCTCTTGGGGCTTCTCCCTGCAGAGAGCGTCTGATTCAAGAATGGAATTCTGTCGATGCAGGGTGGTGGGGTTTAGCGGCCAACCATATAAAGACTACACTCCGACAGCACGGCCCTCCGGGGTTTCATTAGCTAGTAGAGAAGCGCAGCATGTCAAATATATAGCTATTGAAGGCGAACATAAGGCGATACCTCTCGTTGAAATGGATTCTGCAACAGAATGGTGGATCCAGCTGAGCCTCGTAGTGATTCTCCGACTCAGATCTGCTGCACGAAAGCTGGGGGACATTTTGTGCCACCACCAAACGCCTGTACCCGCCAGCTAGAAAGGCCGCTTGTGCGTCCAACCGAGCAGACTGTTCCGCAGTCCAGTGATCAAGCGATGAATCTTCCTCCTCATTCAAGAGTGCCTCCTTCCAGATGATCGGATTCTTTGCTATGGCGCGGTGAAAGCTCGCCACTGTGCTGGTGGCCGTCACCAAGGAGGCCGGGTCTTGGGCGGCCAGCTTGCGGAGAATAATAAGGAGAAGCTCCCCTGGAAGTCGCTCCATCGCCTTATCTCCTCTGGTCCTAGAGTACCTGGTACCAGTAGTAGTTGATTTGGGAGAAAACAGCCATACGAATGTCGCTCTCATCCTGACGCTCTGACGCGGCCGCTTACAAATGTGGCCGCGCGGGCGGTTTTGTTAAACCCTTCGACCAGTGACGCGCCTGGGCATAACACGCTGCGCGCGCCGCCGCGCGCGCCAATGTGAGGACCGGGAAAATGGGGCGCTGTGCCAGGCCGCGCCTGAAACCAGCCGCGGCCGCGTCCTTAGATTGGACGTACCCTCTTCCGCGCCAAATGAAGCGGCGCACTGCCAGAGCCTCGCGGCCGCGCCGCGCCGCTTCGGCGCGCTGGAATCGGCCTCACAGCTCGTCAGGCGGCCGGTTTTATATAGCAATTCAGCTTAGCCGCAGCATGATCAAGCGCCTTCCGGGTGACTTCCTCTTTACCTAATATCTTTCACAAGAGGTTCACAAGCTGCTTCACAAGCTTCATCCTTCAGGAAGTTCGCTGTCGCCTTTCGGTGCTTTGGTGCTTTGGTGCTTTGCACAAAAAGGCAGAAAAGGCTTGCTACCAGCACTGGCTGGCCAATGGAACGTACTTCAAAACATTCATTGCGAAGGATTGACTCCGAGTTGCAAGTGCCAACTACTATAGACCAGGCGGGCGAGACATCTGGTTAATCTGGTGCTTTCAACCGCTGGATAACTTAGGCCGAGACCGTTGACGCTCATGCTGTTTATATCCTGGCCCGCATTTTTCCAGGACTTTTCGATCCAACGGTCGCAGAAGCCCCGCTGAACTTCCATCGGACGGTTTCGACAGAGATTTTGTGTACGCTTTTTGGGTTCTGGTCATGGCTTCCACCAAGTTACGACAATGGCGGACTTCTATCTCCTCCTCCTTTCTGCATTGTTTGACACATGCAAGGCCTCGTCTGGACTGTCTCAGGTTTGCTTTAGCCGGAGCAGGTGGTGGATTGTTAAATAATGGCGTCTTGCAAAAGCCTTTACAAAGTACCGCAAAAAGCGGTGTGTTTGGGTTAATGGACGAAAAGGTTTGGCAAGATCCGGGCCAGGATATAAATGGCATGAGACGGTGCATCTAAAGGATTCCGGCCGTCCGTGTGCAAGGCACCATCCGGCTAGTAGGAGATCTAAAGTGCTGAAAACGCATGTCTGTCTCCGATAAGATTTTCTTGGTTCAGACGTTGCATTGCCGTCACAGGCGGGTCGGCCATCATAGCAATCTCAGGAGCAGTCTAAGCTTTCCGTTCCAAAGCCGACCGTACTACAAGTTGTATGCAATCAGGTTCGTTGATCGCTGTACGTTTCCATACTATATGAAGGTCCAGCATGAGGTGGCAATGTCACGAATCATCGCGACCAAAAGCTGTTGAATCTCTTGGAGTAAACCTGAGGTCCAAGAATCTTGCCAAATATTGGGTTGCTTCAAACGTTCTAGTTCTCCTTCTAACTGGCTAATCTATGTTCTACCCCTTTGCAATGAAGAAGTTTCAGGGAGGGTCCGTACGTTGCAACCCGTGAGATAGCTCCTTTTTAGAAAGGGGTTCTGCTTGACTTTCTCTGCACTTTTTGCCTAGGAGTAACGTCTGAATCCAAAACGGAAGCTCTGGTGCAGGGGAACTACTAGTAGCTAGATCTGCCGACAACGACTACGTTCTGACAGCTCTTCAAGGGGGATAAACAAAAATATTGCAAGTCGCAACAAAGACAAGTCTCCTGTAGGGAAAAAGAACTCCGTTCTGAAATTTGTTGACCTCAAGATGGAACTTGCAGCAAAGTGGTAGATTGAGACGCTGAGCCTTGTGATTCCGTGCAGATCTGCCACTGCAAGGAAGTCTATCGCCATGTTTTGCAACCATCGAACGTCTGTACCTGCCCAGAGCTGCGGCCTCTGAGTCCAACTTGGCAGAATCTCGCGCGCTAAAGACTTCAACCGAAACCCTTTCTTTCTCATCAAAGAAGGCCTCCTTCCAGATGTCTGGGTCCGGTGAAGCGGCGCAGTGAAAGCTCGCCAATGCGCACGTGGCGTTCAACAAAGAGACTGGGTTCTGAGCGGCCAGCTTGCGGAGGATCAGAGTAACAATGTCGCCTGGAAGTGGCTCCATCGCCTTTCCTCCAAATTCAAGAACCGTCTCGTGGGAGAGAAGCTAGGCCTCGGTCGCTATCATCCTGACGCGGCGGCTTACGAACGTGGCCGCGCGGGCGGTTCTGCTAAACCCTCCGAGCGAAAATCAAGGCGCCTGGGCACAACGCCACATGGCTGCGGCAGGCTGCGCGCGCCGCCGCGCGCGCCACTGCGCGGGCCCGGAAGGGAGCCGCTGTGACGGCCGCGCCTAAAACCAGCGGCGGCAGCGTCCGTGGACCCCCTGCCGCGCCAAAACGAAGCGGCGCACTGAGGCCAGCGCGGCCGCCGCGCCGCGCCGGTTCGACCAACTCAGCAGGCGGCCGGTCTAGTAGTATTCAGCCAATTTTCAGATTCTTAGCGCAGAGGCATGGACCGCCTTCCGAGTGAGTTGATCCTGATCATCCTTCACAAGCTGGCGGCTCTGGACCCCCTCTCGTTACTGCAAAGTACTTGTGCGTGGGCGCCCTTCTACCGCGTGGCGGCAGCGAATCCACACCTTTGGAAAGAAGCCTTTTGTGGACCGGCAAGCGGGAAACAGTCTGAACAATATCAACAGCTAGAACGGGTCGAAAAGCTGGATGCAGCGGTTGTAGCGTTAGGAGGATACAAACGACTGTTGACAGCACGTTTTTGTGCGGCACGGAACAGCAAGCGTGCTGAACAAAGCCAAAAGGTTGGAGGCTCCATTTCCGACCTCGATCATGAACGCGCTAGTCGCTGCTTCGTGGCGCGGCTTTGGTCCGGTGGGGTAATCATGACCCTTGTTCGCGTACGGGGAAGTATTTGGATGTGGGGCATCTACCCCCATGACAAGATCCCATATGATCTCAGTGCAAAATTGTACCCAGCGGTTCTAGGGGAGGATTCTTGGGGCGTTCGGCTCCAGCAGTTGTGGTCCATACATTCCGACGCAGTACTGAGCGAAATATGCCAAACGCGGACCGTCCAGATTGGCCGTCTCGATACTCCTGAGACTGGTCCCGTTTCCGTCGAGGTCTACAGTTTTTCACCCTGTGAGACAGGGGCACCCGCTTTGAAAGGACCACCGAGTGGTGTCTGCTGGGGCACATTTTCCCCGGAACGTCATGGTTGGGTGGATTACGAAATGTGGAGATGGTTA